ATTGTATATGTGATATTGATTGGGGTATATTGTATATTTTGCGCGAATAATTGCGCATAAAAATCTACTTGAATAACGGCAGATTAAAAGTGTCGAAATCACATTACAACATCTCAATTTCCACATTTCAAAATCTCTTTTGCAGTGTTTGAAAAAAGAATGCATAAAATCACGAACCTATTATACTTAATTCAATATATTATCTCTAGTAGTTCAATTATTTTGCGGAAATGTGATCTTTCGTAATCTCAAAGGATCTCGTTTAGTTAGTTTGTCTAGTATATGAGTATTATCGAGTAGTTGGGTGGAAGTTCTCCAGTGTTCTTTGCAACCGGCATTCCACAATGACTCACGTCGTTACTTAGTGACATTCTACGCTAAATCGATTCGCGAAACAGCACGGACGCTATAGAACAGGCTTCCAGGGACTCTCGATAATTAAACGGCTGCGTTTAATTTCCACCTACTCAAACCTTAAGTAAACTATACGTTTTAGCAGCACTTGAAATAAAATATCGAAATATAACGAATTGAGATAAGATGTGTGTCTGCAAATTATTTTAACTTATTGAAAATTTTATTTCTTCATTTCAATGATCTTACTATTTGAACCTCATCTCATTTTAATTTCATTTTTGATATTTGATTATGACAAAACACGAATCGCATAAAGTAAGGATTATTAAAAAGTCGTAAGGCTTTTAAAATGCAAATCCATCCTAATTGAATTGATTAAATTAAAAGCGTAGGCTTAGTACGTCTTCGCTCGGCGAAAATACATATGTTTGAGAGTCAACCTTAAAAAGGGGTTGACATGCAGACTTGATCGATCAATATTAAATTCCGTTTTCGCGTGATCGATACAACCGTCAACGATTCTAAGACGCGCATACCATGACGGATGCGCATACAAAATTGTGCACTCGCGACGTTCTTTTCTCGCCACTACGAAAGGCATTATCGACAAACAGCTTGCATCGCGATGAACGTTCGATCGCGCCTCGAACACGTGTGCACGACGAGGCGTGCAATGTGCATAAAGATATCGACGTTTGTCGTTACGTTCTCGGAATGATCGATGCGCTTCTCGAATTCGAATATTCAGCGTGAGACACTCCAATCGATATTACATAAAGTGCTTTTTGAGACTGAGCGCCGGCAGCTAGTATCTTTGATAAGTACTTTCAGCCATATAAAGTTTGCCGAACTTCAATTATAGTATGCAGTAACATACTTATATCCAGATTTATTCCATATATCTAATAAAGCTTCATCTCGAGACGACCTAATCTCGAGTCAAAATTATCAGGCAATCCTTAATTGCTCGTTAATTGCTTAAATGCAAATTAACATATAATTATTAATTTCAAGCAAAATCTAATCAACACGAGTCTTTCTATTATTAAGAGATATCGATGAATTTTTCACTTTTACATCGGTCTATTTTTACTGCGCGTAATATTTCGCGTATCGAGTAACGAAAGACGCTGGGGAAGGTGCTGAAGTGAATCATACGAGATGCTTCCAAGTGTATTTGCTTTCTACTTCTTCGTTCAGTTGGTTAAGTCTCGATCGTGTCATCGTGAGCTGAGGCATCTATAAATATATAGCGATCGAAGTGTAACACATACTCAAGGATATCGGAGGCTGCGTGCGACGGAACGAAGAACGCTTTAGATAATCGTTCTGAAGAAACGTTTCTAACTTTGCCGAATTATAGTGTCAGTATTATCCGTTTTACATTAATGGATCAATGAGGTATTATATGTAGCAAAGGAGAATATAGAATGTCGAACATCCATCTTTTCATTTTCATCCAACGATGTCAACTATTTTTATTACGCCGCATACAATCGTCTAAATTAAATTTTAATATTAATCTCCTCCGTCCTTTTTAAAAAGGAAAAAAGGAATCCTTTCTGTTATGTGATATCTACGTCATCAAAATCTCTCTTCACATTATCCAATCTGTCATGAAAAAGGTAATGATACCTAATTTCGAGACTAAAATAATTCCGGCCGTTTCGACGCACGCTGGAGGGTTCAATGACGTCGACGAGAGAACTCGAGTACCGCACATTCGTGTATACGCCGTGGCGAGAGTATAACGCGCGTGGAGATGATAGTGACGTCTACCGCGGAGAAACAGGCCCCGGCGCGTCGCAATTGACGAAAGTTGCGGTGGTATGTTCGCGCGGTCGTAAGTAATGGGACCAACTAATTGCCAAGGCAGCGGAAGCTCCCGGTCGGAAAGCCTCTTCCCTCATCAAGCGTGCTCGCGACGGGGTTCAATGACGTTGCACGAACGAGGAACGAGCTCGAGAGCACCCGGTATGCATGCATATCGCGCCGCGGTGAACGCGGAGCGCGTGTGTACGAGCCTCGAAAGCCCGGCGCGTTTCATCGATATCGTTCGCATAGGCTTACCTAGGACGGGCATCGAATCGATCTTATGCCGTCAGCGGTATCGCCGAGTTAACCCGGACTGCGAACCACGAAGAGGCGCGAGCACATGCGAACGGAATATCAATCGCGCGGGGATCAAATGCTTTTAAGGAACATCGGTAACCGCGACTTCGATCGCTGCCGCGTGTATTCGATGATCATCGTCGATCTGTTGCATCTCGTGATGCGCCGATGAAAATCGATGGCGCGGAAGAGGCATAGTGCTTCCTGGTTCCTATTCTAACCGCATCAGCACATGCAGAGTTAATACGAGTATCTTGCTGCGTACGTTCAACTGCGAGACGCGAACGAGACGCGGTTTCATCTGAAACGTACGGTGTATAAAATTTGAGAAAAAGTATCCATATTAAACGACTAATTTTTCTCCATTAGGTATTAACGTCGCGCGATATAATATTCAATTTCGCTCATTTTTATAGAGTTTGACGAACGATTGTAAAACGTACTTTACAAATTATAATTATTTTGGAACGATGAAAAAAAAACACATATATGATTTTCATGGACCACGTCAAGTTTTTATCTCGCGAAATAAAATCGCGACGGCTAGAGTTATAATCGTGTATTGTAAAATTTCGCGAGTGAAATTACGCGGGTCTTTTCCTCGGAAACGCGATCGAATCAAAGTCAGGTACGAACAGCTCGCGAATTTACGGTGACTGGCGCAAGGAAAGGGTTCGGCGCACGACCGAATATAAAATATGCAATATTCTCTTTCCGGACTGCCGCGCGCGCGCGCCGGCAGAGTCGGCGGAGTGATGTATAAAGCGGCGGACGCTCTTTCTGCGATCCGGTATAAGTAAATTGCACCTGTGCGAAAGAAAGATCAGACGCGTTCGGCACACGCTCGTCTCTTGCGGGTCACGTGACTGCCGCTGGGGCGAGCGTGTCCTCGTACTTGTTTCTCATTATTGCGCGCGACGTAGAGTATAATTTCACTTTGGATCAACTGACCGCTGGAAACGCGGACAAACCGACCCGAGGGAATAAATGCTCTTCCACGATGGCATCTTTCTCGTTTTATTGTCAATCTTTCAGAGTGAAATGTATTTTCGCTTTCCTTCTTAGGAATTGACGAAGGCGAGTGTTATCGTGTAACTTCGGGCAGTTTCGAAATAATCATTTAGAAATCATCTTCCTTTCTTCTCGCACTTGTGTTCTGTTGATCAACCGTTAAATACACGCTTGCGAAAAATGCATTTATTATTACATATACGTAATATTAATTAAAATCGATACAAGTTTAAATAATTTTTACGTAGCGCTTATGTTCAATGAGCCGATCGATCATGTATCCTTTTCACATTTTAACGAACATTCCTTTCGAGTATTTCTTTCTTCTCAAGTATTTGCGCATCAACATCGCTTTAATAAAATCAACGAAGGTGTCGAAACAGAAGGAAAGAAATAACCAGCTAATTAGGTGATGTTTGGTCTTGAGAGGCGAGACAAACTTAGGCGCGCGCTAGGGCGGATGTCTCGGCAACGAAGGCGATGGAGTAGCGGAGTTTCGCGATGAACTCAAGAGAGAATCGAGAAGGTGGGACGGGGAGGGGGGGGCAGGGGGAGGGTGAAGGTGGCCAGCAACGACGAAGGGTGGGTTAAGAGGGGCGATGGCGCAAGGATGGAGACCGCCGAGACGAAAGGAGGCGAGTGAGCGAGAGGAGGTGGGCCGCGAGAGGAGGACGGGGCGAGTGGAAAGGACGAGGTGTCCGCGGGGGCGGATGAAAGGACGCTTACCAGCTACTACCTATTGATCGCCAATTCTTTTTCTCTTGTTGCATATTAGGCGCACTCTTCCTTCTTTCTCCTTCTCTTTCTCACTCTCCCGCTCACGCTCTTTCTCTTTCTCTCTCTCTCTCTCTCTCTCTCTCTCTCTCTCTCTCTTCGCCTGGTGCGCTCACCCCCGTCTCGCGTCTCGCAGCCAACCTGCCCCCTCGCGGCCGTACGCCACGCGAATCCGCCCCTATAACCACCCTCCCCCGCGTTCCACACCCCCTTCCTCATTCTCCTCTTCCTCCTGCGCCTCCTCTACCCTCTCTGCTCGTGTCGCCTCACCGCGCGAGAGAGTGCAAGCCGCCCCTACCACCCACCTACTACCTACACTCTGACGCTCTTCTTACCGGCAATGTTTCATTTCGAGCAGCAGCAGTACCCTTCCTGTTTTGGGATGGGGCCGGCGACCGCCCACTTTGCTTTTTGCACGCAGGTGCGACGGAATCGGCGAGGATTCGCGGTGTCTCGTAGCCGCGGCGCGACATAGTCGTAGATAGGATAGACACGTTAAAGGTGGATATAGGATATATCGAAGATTATCGATACGCTAAATAGGACGTAAGAAGTTTAGCTTCTTATTATATTTTTTAAGAGTGCAAACACATGTATAATGTGGTACACTTAGCGAGGACCTTAAGAAAGAACGAGGAAAAGAAATTATCTTTAAGATTTCCCTCTCTTGTATATTCATACACACTCACACACATCCATACATATACACACCAGCCATTTCTGACGGTGTACCATTTCTGTTTCAGATAGCGACCGGCGATCTGCAAGCGTCTTCGCGCGAAAGAACGGCGAGGAGGGTAAACGGAGCCGATCGCCGTAGGAGAATTCGGCGGAAGAAAAGGGAGAGGATCCCCGCGCGAGAGGTGCACGCACAGCGGGCCGGAAGCAGGAGGGTGGGAGGGCGGTAGGGTGGCAGAGGGATAAAGACAGATAAAGAAAAGAAAGAGAGAGAGAGAGAGAAGCAGGAGACGCGCCGCCGGCGACAGACTGCACTCTCGTGGCGCTCAGGGCGCAAGCGTGCACGTGTGTTGTGCGTTTCCGTACCCTAACCCTGTCCCGCTACCTGGGAGGAGTAGCGTGGTCGTCGTCCCTCCGCGACTACATCCCCACTTCGCCGCCGTTGCCGCCGTTGCCGCCACCGCTACCGCCAACGACACCGACGCCGACGCCGCCGTCGGCTCGCCATCCCTCCGACGCTCGCGGAGGAGCGCCGCGCCGCGCTACGGCCGACGAAACGACGGCGACGACGACGACGACGACAGGACCCCCACCGCCGCTACCATTACAACTGCTACTACCACCACACCGGCGGACCTCGACGACGACGACAACGACGACGACGACGACGACGACGACGACGACGACGACGACTTCGGTCGCTCCTGCCGACGTGCTACGTCACGCGTGACGTCGCACCCGACAGCGCGCACGTTAGCGCGACGACGTGAACACGCGCGCTACTCTTCTCCCTCACGCACGCCTCACGCTTACGGCGCGCGCTGAAAGACAGAGGAACGTCTGTCGGTGGTAGAAGAGGGAACAGAGGGTGCCGGCGTGGAGGGAGCGACGGGAGGAAAGGAAGGAGGAAATCGGAAAGAGGCGCGGAAGGGAAACTAGAGCCGTAGGGGAGGCAGGGGTTGGTGGGAGAGAGCGCAAGAAAGAGGAAGAGAAGGAGGTGCAGGAGGACGACGACGAGGGCGACAACGGCGACGACGACGACGAGGAGGACGGAGGAGCGCCGGCGGTGGAGGGGGTGGACATCCACGCGGGAACACGAGGCAGGCGTACCCGGCCGGCACGCGCACACACATCCTAAGATGTGATTTCAAAAATGGCGGATTGCCCCTATGCCCGCTGCATACAGGAACGCAGACACATCCGACGGGAGCTGCTGCGATGGACAAAGAATATGGTCTTCGTAGTCGGTGAGTAAAAGAGTCCAGTCGTTCTTTCTGCCGACACAAGTCGGCGGAATTGCACGCACTTTGTACAAGCGTAATAATGTGTGTATATGATATATATATCAATATATACATATGTAATATAATACATGTATACATATCGATGTGTGAGGCGCGAGAAAAATTTCTTCGCGAAAAAACGCACCAGCGTGCACGGCGATCGACTGCTCGCACGCACACAGGAGAAGCATGTCATCAAGCGTGCTTGTTGCGTATGTGTATGTATGTCGCGGCAAGAATGGTATATATATATATATATATATATATATATATATATATATATATATATCTATA